TAGTTGAAGATTCAGCGATGTCTGTAACAAGTTGTTAAAGCGTTAACGATGAAAGGATCAAAGTTAACGTTTAACGCATCATCTGTAAACCAGCCTTTAACATCGCGGAAAAGACAAATGTCCAAGCCATGACTTTTAACCTTGTGCTCGTGCATGTATGCATCATTCTTTGACGGTTCCTAGTTGCGCGAGTAATTATCGGAAATCCATTACTTCTGAATGAAAAGTCTTCCACGAGCCTCGCGTTCCCTCCCCCTTGGACCCGCGATAATCCTGGATCCGACTTAGCGATCGCAAATTTACAGATTTTTTCCGATTACCGTTGATTCGACGAAACGATTAGGACGACCGTTGCGCGACAATCTTTCGGTAGTTGATACGATTCTTGCGAGGAATACAATTCATTAGGAAATTTTATATGTATTTAAATTGGGAAACTTGTAATTACATTTATCGCGTGGGTAACCTTCCTCGAAACATCCGTCAATGTTGCACGTGAATGATACGCTCGTTACATTTATGAGGACGATTAAGGGCGGCCCGTAACGTCCGAGCAATTACCGTAACACGGTTATGTGTATGCAGATCCAGGACTGGCAACGCGATACGAGTCGACACCACTATCAAAACATGGCCGAGAACGGCGACCCTTTCCTCTGGCCAGCTTTACCCACAGATCACGATTCGCGATACGTTCAATTTAGAAACCATTAAGACTGTATAAGGAGATCCAACTCCCTAAGAAAGTCACTAGAAAACTTTTAGCAAAATCCCGAACTTGAAGTTATGAATAATATTTCGTCCACTCGCGGCGCAAGTGCGCACAGTCTTATATATATGTATATGTCATATGTGTATGTAATAATAATACATATATATCCATTTACGAGCATATGACATATATACAGGATGTCCCAAAAATGTTGTAACACCTTGAAAGAGGTGGTTCGGGGGGTGATTTGAAACAACTTTTTCCTTAGCGAAAATGTTGTCCGAGGCTTCGTTGAGGAGATATTAACGGAAAACAGTGACCAATCAGAGCGCGAGTACGCAGGTGGAGCGCCCGCGGTAGCGTATCACCGCGGCCGCCTATCACGTAACCTACGCTCAACCGGCATACTCGCGCTCTGATTGGTTCGGGGTTTTCTGTTATTAACTCCTTAACGAAATTTCGGACAACATTTTCGCTAAGGAAAAAGTTGTTTCAAATCACCTCCTGAACCGCCCCTTTCAAGGACCTCCAACATTTTTGGGACACCCTGTATATATCGTAGTCTGTGCTCACTTGCGCCGCGAGTGGTAGAAATATTCATAACTTCAAGCTCAGGATTTTGATAACACTTGTACATTACACAGTTAGGACTCCTTATACAGTCTTCATGTTAGAAATGTAACTTTATTGTTGGGCAAAGACAGGGGGCACCACCAGTGACGCACTTAGGACGCTACAAGGGGTCAAGGAAGCAACCCCTTCTCTGATTGCAAATATTCATTTCTTTAACCCTTAACATGGGGGAAGGGACGGGGTGGCATTCGAGTAGAGATAAGACTATCGATAACAAAATGTCCATATCAACTTCCCTCTCCCAGAGTGTAGTGAAATTGAAAAATGTAATTTCATTACACTCGATGAATAAAATTGTAAACATCCTATACTTCATTCGTGTCGTTTTTAAAATTAAAAGTCACATCTAACAGTAGAAAGCGACAATTACTTTGCATTTGTTTTAACATCGAGACCTAACAAGGTTCTCACCAAATTATCGCTAAGCATAATTTTCATACAAATTTTGTTAATATTAATTTTTCTAAATACTACTTTCTATATATCTACCGAAAGTATCAAAGTTTAATGGTTTCGAGATTTCGAGTGTTTAGGTATAAAACATCGAACTCTTAGGAAGTATATCAACAACAAATGCTACGCAAAGTTCTGCACGTGAAGCGACACGAGTCGCGTTTATAGAACGATTGAATATTTATAAAGCGTGGCAATGACTCCGTCTGAATGCTAAATCCACTCCGAGTACATCTGATAAATACACCGAAGATGCTTACATTCCGCTTACTCTCAAAACGACCGGAGCTTTTTCAATCCTATGCGTAAGCGAAACTCGAAACTTCCCAACGTGAAACCCGTTTAAATGTGATCAACGGAAGCTTTAAAAGAGAATTCCAGTGCGTGATTACGAATCAACTGATAAACAAACTTGAGCCAAGTGACTATACCGGAATGCTAACAAACAGATTTCGACAGATTGTTGCAAGATATTTTCGATGTACAATGTCAAATATGAAACATCAACATCGTCGGTTTTAAACGAGTAAGAAAATTTTCGGTTTCTTAAATAGAATACGTCGACCTTAGAACGAGAATAAAAGAAGATTTACTTCAGTTCAATTTACTCCAAATATAAACTTATGTATTTGAATCGATTTGTAAATATTATCACATGACGAAACCGCTAAAACGAAAGAATGAAATCAACAGATCTCCATATTTTTGTTAATTAAATTCGAAGAATAATTTTCCCAACGCTACTTGGTGGTAAAAAGAAAAGCGACCATGCCGATACTTTTGTCCTCTCACGTACGTGTTATTTTCTATGAAGGCGCAGCATCCGATGATATTTCTACGACTTCGTCGAGTAAAGACCACGGAGAACAGGTACTCATTCATAAGGCACGGCAAGAGGAACGTAATAACCTTGATTACTCTACGAAGCTGTCACATCGGCGTGCAGCCACCGCCAGAGATTCATTCACGCGCGATCTCAATCGTGCGACCCCGCCAACGAATTAACAATGGACCCGCGATTTACCGACGCGTAACAGTTGACAGGATCGGCCTAAATAATTGCGATTGTTTCCATCTGAGTGAGGATTTCTTTCACCGTGTTACATAATACGCGATTTCGACGTTGCGAAATTTGTTCGTTAAGAGAATTGTAACTCACCATTTTTTCTGCAGAAGTCGTTATCCGAAACGTTAGGGGCACTCACAGCTACGCTGACTATGGATGCACAGAACACGTTACATCGACTTTGACACACTTTTCGGAGTCTATGCGGAAGACCGGTCGAGATTATCGCTCCCGGGAGCGAAAGGTTCGAACGATATCGCGGTCGACTGTTACGCGAAAACACTCGCGAACAGACTGACGTTCGATACCGCGATGGGTTTACGCGGACGACATCAAAGCATAACAAAACAATCCTCTGCCGGTTGACATTTACGAGCACCGCCCCGCGATGTCCTTCCACCCCGAGCTCTCGAAACAGACTGGCTGCCACCGTCTCGAGCTCTACACTATTTCCGCCAAGCATCGCTAGGCGGCGCCACGGGACAACGCCACGGCGCACTCGAGCGCCAATCAAGCGCCATCCATCGAACGGTCCTCCAATCAGAACGAAGCAGCCTACGTGCCGAAATTCACTTTGTAATATCTACGGGGTGTCTAAGTATTTTCTGCTGCGAAATCTTGTTACGAATATTGATTAATGAAAAGATTACCTTTTAACGACGCAGAGAGAACGTCTTAAACGAAAAAATAGTTATCTACAGCATGAAAATGAAAATTTGTATCGCTTTATTACATTTTTATGAAATTCTTCGTGTTAACGAGAGATCGGGAAACTTGTTACGATCTGGCTGATATTGCTTGTAATGTTTCATACGTTATATTTTGTGTATCTCGGAATATTCTTCTTGTTCTGTGATATGGTATATGGGAGATTGTACGGAATCTTTTATGCAAGATTGACGAGTAGAAGGTGTAGAATCAAGCAAATCGCCCTATACAAGTGGCTTCAGTTTTATAGACTGTCGCAAGCTGTCGACATTCCCCTCCTAAGAAGCGACAGACCATTCGAGTCAATTGTTCTTAAATAATATAAATTGAAGGCTAAGAAAGCAGGGTTGCCAAAAGCGCGGAGATCTCCGCGTTTTCAGCAGAAATGCGGAGATCAGAGATGCCAGATTTGATTCCGCGAATCTCCGTGTAGACGGTGGCGCCGTCTATGTTTCTATTCCCACAGCTTATGCACATAACTCCCTGCCCTACTCGCTGTCGCCCTTATCTTTACTAAACTTTCTTTCTTTCTTTTTCTTTATTTAAACATTGTGTAGTCCTAACGGACTGTTTACACATTTCTTGAAACATACATCTCCTTAATATGAAGGTACACACATAGCTCTGTGATATAAAAATATAACTCTTCCAAATGTAGTATTACTTGTCTAACTTATCTCTTAATTCTTCTTAATGCTTAAATAACACAGTTACATATTTGGTAGATGTTGCATTTACATCTGAGTATATCGTATAATATTATATTAAATTAACCAGTCCTTGTTATTTTTGGTACTCCAAGAAAAAAAACATGGCAAAACAAAATAAAATGATATAAAGTAAAACAAAATAAACTTTTTTCTTTTTTCTATCTAATCCTTATCCTATATTGCAATCACGTTTAATAATTTTCTTAAATTTCTCCATTTACATTTCTATCCTTTAAACCTGCTTTACCGCCTCCCTCTTTAAAAAAAAAAATATCATGTAACAGTAATGGAGCAAAATGAATCGTGCACAATTCGGTAATGTAACATAAAACATAAAATATTGTGTATGTATTACTTATTAATAAAGCGAAAGAAACTTTTGGGACAACCTAATAGATTGCGCATCTGCAAAATTGCAGATATTAAGGCTGTCAGCGATCGCACATATTCTTGTAACACAATTGTTTAACATAAAACTTTATAGAAAAGATATAACATTGAAATTAAACCAACACTTGTTACCTCGGCTTCCGATGGTGCTGCCAGTGGTTCGCCAGCGCCATTTGTCCAGTAAGGTGGCGCCGCTCGTCGGTAAATTGTTAGGTTCGTTGAGGAGCCGCCACAGCTGCAAACACTGCGCACGAGAGTTATTTGTTTATGGCGCCTGCGCATAATCTTCTTAGGAGTCATGCGAAGAAAAACTGACAGTAAGCCGCCGGCCCCCATCGTGCATGCTTCGTAGTTACGCGTAATGATAGTTTGCGGCGTATGTACGTTCGTGAGTTGACTAGTTGATCGTTTAATATTTATTCTTTTTTTTACGGGAAAAGCATAGTTTGTTCGAATCGATTCTGTGTGTTGTAACGTGACAAGTGATACCCGAGTGCAACGTTCCAAATGCTTTTCAAAACGATTCGCGTGACTTTGATATTTGTCGAGAAGCGTTAACATTTGAATTTATTGGAAATTTCGTCGGAATCGAAAGGACTATTAAATATTGAACGAAGATTTATCGAAAAGAATGTACTTGAAAGAGGCGAGTAAACGGTCGAATAGTTTGTCGGTTCACGCGTAACGGACGTACACCGTACGCGACCCATTCGAAATCTCGACAAGTAAACACGCAGCCTCGCGTTCAGGACGAAGTGGTTTGTGTTTGACGACAAATATTGCGAGGATCGGTCAAGCTTGTTCGTCGACGTGTACTCGTAACCGACGAGAGTCTTTCCTCTTCCTTCTCCCGCGTAACAACACGTTTTTCCGCGATCGGTAACGGAGCCGAGATATATCGATATCCTTTGACGGCGAAACGTGTGCATCGATATATCGTGGGAACACGATTTCCATTCTGAGAAATCGATCATGGCGGTTCTTGGATTCGCGAAACGCGGGCTTTGAAGTGTTTTCTTCGTAAACTATTTCTTCGATGAAGTCTCGGAAAATGACGACACCGGTGGAATGTGGCCTGATCGTTCTTTCGTTTCTGACCACGATCTGCCAAGCCAACGAATTGAAGGACTATTGTTCCATGCACAAATTCGACAATTTGCCAGGTGGTTTGAGATTCACGAAGGAGGTCGTGTCGACGGAATATGCCAACATCGGAACGTTCAAAGCCCTTCATTGCTGTCTACGGGGCTATAGGAGCATCGAATGGTGAGTCAATGGTGTTTTCATTAAAAACTTTAAAATTAGTTAGTCGCTCTGTATTTTACAAAACGAACGGTTTCGTTTACTCGGAGACGTAAGTCGACGGATTAGATCGAGTCGCTCGATCAGATTTACCATTTGCTCGTTTAAGATAGCCTTTGTTCGTTTTAAGATAGGTATCGTTCTACGATCCAGTATATGTATATTGGGTTGTCCGGAAAGTCCGTGTCGATTTTTGGTACATGTCTGAATATATCGTAGTGGTTGAAAACAAATAATATGTATACATCCCTTAAAAAGTGGAAAGGCCGTGGAACAAAATGGCATCTATGTGACTCAATAAATATATATTAAAATTCAAACGTGTTTTTTGAATTTTTCTTAGAAATTGCCAGGAACTTTCTGGACATCTAATACATACAGTGGGTGTAGAAAGTATTCGTACATCGATTAATTTCCCCAAAACTGCGGGAAATTATAATTGATTAACTTCTTTTTTATAAACAATGATATTCTACATATTCTTGGAAAACTCTAGAATAAATACAGTACAAAAAAATTACTTATTTATATAAGTTGCGAAATTAAAAAAAAAAAAACAAACAAATGGATAGAAATATAGAAGCAATATTCATACAATTGTTACATTTTTAAAACTTCATAAAAAAAAAAAAAACGAAATTTACATTAATTTATAAATAATTAATACTTCGTGGAATTTCTTTTTGATTTTATAATTACTGCAACTCTTCCAGGTTGTAATTAATTAAATGTCGATGTTATTCGAGGTGGGATCTTCTTCCACTACTCTATTACAGCATTTTTTAAGACTTTTTTTTACTAGAAATTTGATGTTTGCTAATTTATACGAATCAATAAACTGATGTGTTTATGTTACAAACTCTACTGTAAATGGTTCGTTATAAGAACCGTACGAATACTTATTTCTTCATTATTTCTGCCGGTTTTTCATATTTTCTTGTTAATTTTGCAAATTATACAAACTAGTAATTGTTTCTTGGACTATATCCGCTCTAGGGATTTTCGAGAATACATAGAATGCCGTTAAGTATAAACGAAAATCAACAAACTACAATTTCCCACAAGACTTTTTGAGAAATTGATCGATGTACGAGTACATTCTACACTCACTGTATAATTAATCGTATCGAGCTTAAAAGAGGTATCGTGCACGCATTTGCGAATATGTCGCGACTTTATAAAAAGAATGCGAACACGGATATCGATGCGCTGAAGTCTGCGAACGTGAATAAGAAATAATTGGTTTCGTCGAAGATGCATCGACCGTAACGTTGCGTTTGAAATGTTTGGATCGCGAACGCGCGTTTGTTTTCGAGAGACAAAGGTTAAACGACGCGTCTCGTCGTTCGGGCAATTGATATACATATTCTTGGACGTCGCGACGCGAGCACAACTTGTTTCCATTTCGTGGCTCGCGACCTCGACGAAGGGTGACGAAAAAATCATGCGTCGCGATCCTCCCGACGAGCCGGATGTATCGCGAACAATTTCCCATGGTTTCGTTTCTGTCTTCCGAGTTACGCTTTCGAGGGCCAATTTGAATGGCATGTCCGACATTCGTGCAAGCTGATGCAATTTCTCGCCATTTTTTTTTTTTTTTTTTTTTTTTGCCCGAGTTGGCGAATACCTGGAAACCCGCGCTTCTCGCTCTCGTGGAACTAATCCATTTATGGAACGAACTTTTTTTTTCTCTCTCTCTCTCTCTTTCTCCATCGTGTCGCTGGAAGAATACGTTAAACCGGTTATTAAGTCCGCCATACGGCACGCTCGACTCGAACAAACACAGTTTCCGGCAAAGTGCACGGACGACGAAACGTAATGAAAATTCGCGCAGAACGAATCGAGTTGTAAAAACTAAACTGAATGATGCTTTAGACCTTTAGAGTGGTGAGATGGGCAAAACTCTAGGCTTCGAATAAATCTGAAGTTTGCCGATATGTTTGTCTCGTTTCTTCTTTTGAAATATTTTTCCAAATGGTTTTGTCCATCTCTGGTCCGAGGGAGAGTTTCCGAGAATGATCGTCGACATTGTCGTCGGAGCGTGTCGAATTCCACGATAAATGCAAGTAGAAGAGTGTGCATTCGCACGCCCGGTCATTTTCGCTCGCTCGTACCGTACCGAGTACGAGAGATGGAAATCGCTCTAGGGGGTCTCAGTTCGAGACGCTTGTTCGACTGTCTCTCGGTAACCGCAAGCGAGGCGCAGCCTAACAAAGAAACGTTTCCGAGAAGCATTCTCAAGGGTTCGTTCGGTGCCGATTTGCCCGAATCCCTTGCCTTGTCTCGCTACGCCGTGCTGTGCCCTGGCCTTCAGTGCCGGGAAGTTTATTATTCGTGGGACAAAGTGGAAGTTCACCCTCATTGTACTCGTCCAGGTGTCGAACGGTATATTTATTCCACGCATTCGCCGCTCGAGAGGCCGTGGCTAGTCGTCGAAAAGTTGTCGGCCGACGAACGCGTGCCGTGCGAGAACTCTTTTGGCTAGTCCACACCTGTTACGTCTCTATCGAGCACGTCCAACTCCGAGGCACCCGAGGAGCTGTATTTGGCAACGATGTTCGACTTTGTTTTTGTTAAATATCTTCGTGGATAGGAAAAATAAACGACTGTTCATATTGGCTTCTACAGAGCGTGTGTTTACTACGTGCTCGCACGTAAAGAAAAAGTAAAAAAAAAAGTATCTCCGCGCGCTTAACGTATGCGCCTATTGTGGCGCTTTTGCTTATATTTAAATTTATTTATTATATTCTAACGCACCTTAAATTTAAATTCCATCACCTTTCTTATATAGTTCCTTTTATATTTACAGTATTAGGTTGTTCCAAAAGTTTCTTCCGTGACTTGCCCTCAGTTATGTTGTGTGACAGTGTTTATATAAATAGACAACCTAATTTCTTAGATGTTAATGTTGTAACAGTAACGGAGGAAAATGAATCGTACCCGATTCGATAACGTAACATTAGACATAAAATATTGTGTATGTATTACTTATTGATAGACTGCGGATCTTTATGCAAAATAATGTCTTCGCGAACGTGCCTAAAAAAATTGAACCTAAATAGAAATTTCTTTTATTCTGCGAATATTGTAACGTGAACTTTACTTTCAATCTTTTTTATATTTCTTGCATATTGTTTGCGTTTTGTAGTTTCTTGGACATTCACATTTCCTATAAATGCATAAAGATCCGCAGTCTACTTATTAATGAAATGGAAGAAACATTTGGGACAACCTGATACATATTTATTTTAATTTATACGTAGTTTAATTTTAGTTTTATTTTCCTCCATTTGCCCAAGTGATAGTCGATACTTGGTTCGTTTCGTTTCGTTTCGTTCAACTTAGCTCGGTTTGCGGCGAGAATTTTAAATGGAAATTACGAACTGTAATTTGACGAATCTCCCTTTGCGAATGACTCGCAAGGTAATCGTGGGAGAAGAGTGCGTAGCATAGGGCACGGCACGGCACGTAACTTTGAAAGGAAACAAGTCGTCGTTGTACCTCGATTGGAGGGAAAGTTGGAGTCCGCGTACCCGCGTGTCCTGTGTTCGTCTTATGTGGCCTCGCAGCCTGGATAATGACAAGTTAGAGAAAGAGAACCGTAATTTCACATTGCAAAAACGAATATGCCGCTCGGTCGCGGCTTCTGGGCTCGTTTTGTCCGTTCGCGGAATGCGTTGAAACGATTGTCGAAGATGTCCAAAAGACGGCGGATCATAAGATGGCGGGATAACTGATCTTTCTGCGTCGCGTAAAATTGACGACCGTTTTACCTAGATTAGAGATGGCGTGAACTGCTAATTTCGAATCACGAGTGATTCAATCACGTTCGCTCTCAATCGCGATGATTTTTGTAATTCGTGATTCTTCATGATCGCTTCTGATTGGTAGATAACATTCACTTTTCACCAATTATGTTGTTCTTAGATTATATATGTATTATAATATGGTCTAGAAGCAACGTTTATATAATTTTAATACAATTTAAATTTGACTCGTTTTTTGTAGTTTCTCGAATTTCCGCTAAGGGAAGACAGCGAGACACTAACGATAACAATTAACACGAACCGCTTTTGAAACGCCATCTTCCGGATCACGGTCGTGATCGAAGTTTAATTACGACTGCGATAATGATTGTGTGATCACCGTGAACAAAAAATATACAAGTCGAATTGAGTAACCTCCTCCTTTTCGAAGTCGGTTAAAAAAATCACTGTTAGCGATTTTTCACGCCATCCCTAACCTAGATCAGATTAGAGTCCTTTGGAAACGGTCGATGGTTCCGCGTTGGTTACTTCTTTGTTCCGTCTGTTTTGTAACCATTCGTAGAATAAATGTTGCGATTTGAATGATATGACGAAAGAATGTTTTTATCGGTACATTGTCGTATCGGTGTGCATAGCGTAGGTTAGTCGAAAAGGATGACGTAACTGTACCGTTGCATGCACATTGGACGACGAATGCGAATGCACGTAGAAAATGTTCCATCGATGCGCGAGGCGTCGGTGCCGACGTCACCGGATGAATGGCATTTCCTCGAATTTGTCGATAGTTCAATGTATACGAGACTTAAATTTTTTCCCGACATCCGAGACAAAGTTTTTCGATCGAACGACCTCGCAAACTTTTCTGCGTCCATCCCGGTTCTCCCTGGCAGCTTTTCTCCAATTTCCGCGTGAAAGCGCGAATCGACTCAAAGGAGAATTTTCTATTCTGTCGCTCTCTCGGTTGATGTTACGCGATACTCGTGTGTGGTGAAACGTGAACACCGTCGCTGTGGCGATGCGATTGAATTTAAGGAAAAGTATCCAGCTGTGGCTCGGGAAAAGGGGATCCGGAGTCTTGGTTTCGGCCGTTATCGATGGAAATGCAAAAGCGGTGCACCGCCAAAGCTGCAAAAAGTAAATGTCGCGTGTTGTTTATTTTTCCACGGCCAGCCGGTGGACAAAGTTTTCCTCCGTGAG